AAGAGATGAGTTTTTCATTTCGGGGCTTGAATCTTTGTCAGCGCCAAATAACGTTAGGTGTAGTTTTTGTGAATGTGGATGGTGGAGTGTCTTTATTTCATGATATACGTGCCCTAAAATGAAACAAGTATCTGGATAATAGTGTTATCCTTCACAAAGGCAGGGATGAGACAGACACTCTACCTAGAAGTCTTCTGTGTAGTGTTGGGATCGCTTACTGTCAAGATCTCCAGTGAACTGAAACTTAAGTTGAATCTTCATATGCGCTGTTACATGTTTTCATGGGTGCGTCAGGATAAAAGAGTGAACTCCGGTAGGTGGTGAAGAAGAATCACTTTATTGCTCTTTTACTACTACTTTTATAGTCTTTTACTGCTGTGAATACGTAATCTACAAAACTTTTTGTTGGCTACTAACTAAAAACAACACACTGTTCTCTAGTGAATTCGCTCCCTTGTTTACATTCCAGTCCATTCTCCTTCCGGCCGTGTCAGGTCCTCCATCACCTCCTCTTCCATTTCGCTTTAGGGCAAAGCCTTCTTCTCCTAGTCTTTTAAGGGAAAAGCTTCATGTCCCAGAAGTCAAATCCTAATTCAGCATCTTCTCGTTCCCCTACACATGTGTGAGAGATTTCTTGTTGAACAGCTCCTTTTCTTGCAAGATTTTCTGTGCACTGCTTTGCTATGATAATAGCAGATACCCTTCAGTGTTACTATTTTTTCCTCAGTTAGACTTTGTAGAAAACTGTATAAAACAATCGTGTTAAAGATTTCCAGTAGGATTCTAGATTGCAAGTTCACAGTAGTGTTCCTGTTATACTATCTGTGGCAGTAATGGGATCATCTCCACCATAGGGGTTTGAATCTTGAGTTGTTTGGATTTGAGTTATTGACAGAGATGAGGTATTACTGACACAGACTTGTGTAAGGGCTTTTTCATGTTTTTGGTTTTGTCTTTTAGTATCATTGACTGAAATTCTCTTTCTAGCTAATGAGCAGTCTGACTGAGTCTTCTGTGTAAGTATGTGCAATATTCCTGCCTTTCTGTAATAAAGAGTTTTGTTTATCAAAATACATCTAGTAAGCATGAAGGAAAGCTTACAAACTTTGCTTCTACCTTAAGTAGCCCCACTGAAGATGACATTCTTCATCTCAGTTAGATATTAACTAACACCCAAGTTTACCAACGATAGCATATTTCAACTTAAAAAAATCACATTATTTGTTTGAATCTTATTTGCTATTTTCACAAAGAAAATAGTAAGAGGTTTAAACGTGCTTGGTATGGCAGAAACCCAAATTGTTCTTGGCTTGTGTCATTAGTTAATGTTCTGCATGAGCTTACACCTTCTTTGCTTTTGCTCACCTGAAGCAATAGGTGTAAAAATACTAAGATTTCAGTAGAAGAAAATTGCAGTAAATATTGTGACAATTTTTTTTCATGTCGTAGTTGGGAAATTGTTCTAAAACACATGTGAAGATTAGCTATACAAAGAATAGCTTACTAATATATGGATATTGGAAATTAGCTGATCCTGCTATGAACAGTGATATCCTACATCAGCTGGTACAACTTCAATGATATGCGTCCTAGCTAAATATTTGACCTGCCTGCCACCCTGCTTTTATACCAGTCAGACGTGCCTGTTTGGTGAGGGATGTTGCCATCTCAAGAGATCTGAGGTGACTCTTTTTAGAATCTATGTCTAAACTCTTTTATTTGCCCAGAATGTGCGTGTTCCTTCCTGTAACTAAATGACCAAAATTGTTGGATGAACTTTGAAACTTCTGATAGTTGCAAAAGAAGTAGAATTTTTGCTTATTTTCAGTTCTGTGTATTCCACTTCTATGGCTCTTCAGTTTTGTGAAAGTTACCCAATTCTTTTAGCCAGCCGAAGAACCTGAAGTGCATGCTTTTCCCAGAATAAGCGTAAAACAGCTTCTCTCTTTGCTTGTAGTGAAGATTTTACTGTGTGTATTCTACGTGACTGACTTTATTGGCTTGTGTAATGTGTTGGAAGATTGCAAAACACAATGTCCACATAACACAATGTCCACATAACAATCTGCGTTGTTCTGAATGAATCTGTGTTGAATGCTTATGGAAAGCGTTAGCATAATGCCTACCTTAAACAAATGCTGCTGCACCTAGTGAAAGAAGGAGTCCGAAAAATGACAGATAGTAAAGCAGAACTGCTTGAGATAGCAGAAGAGAATGAGGAGAAAGAGGGATTTAAGGTTTCATTATAGTTCTTTATTTCTTAAAATCCCTTATGTTTGAAATTGAGTACTTCTGAAGTAGAGACTTCATGCCAACAATTTCGTCTGTGTGAATGCATTGGTAGGGTTCTGATGAGTGTAAAGAAATCAATAAATGCTTTTTTCAACAAAAATAAAAAACCTCACTTTCTTCTATTTTTGTTAGTAGGTTTATGCATTGTATTGCATTTTAAGCTTTTGTAACAGAACATCTTCCAAAAGGCCAAACTGAAATCGTTGCAGTGCTTTATGAAATTGTAAAAGTATTTCGGAGATAACAGCAAATACATTTTTACTGGTTTAAAATTCTTAATCTTTAAATTTATTAAGATTTAAATCTATTAAATCTTGTGTTACATCTCAGAAATATCTCCTAAGCTTTCAGTAGCATTTGGGTTAATAAAACTAACTCTTAGAATTTTGCCTTCTGGTTTTCAGTTTGTTTTGTTATTTTTGCAAATGTATTATAAATCTGAGTGCTAATTCTGTAGACATTTTCCTTGTACACTTAAAGTTCTGCTGAAGCAGATTTCATAAAGCACCACAGAAATTTCAGTTTGGCCTTTTGGAAGATGTTCTATTACAGAAGCTTAAAAGTTAGACGATTCATACGTATACATAATAAAAATGAATGTATTTCCAGAATCAACAAGAATTAATCAGCAGCGTTTTACTTGTGTAGCATGCGATAATTTTATTTAAATTATTCTCACAGTATTTTTACTGGGAAATAAGTTACAGAATGAAAATGATGTTGAAGAAGATTACTTCATGTTCAAGTAGCTGATATGCTAGCGTGAAGCATTCTCAGGAAAAAAGGTATTTAAAGCCTGTGAGGAATAAAATTGTCTTATGTTCCAATGATTATGGAGTATGTAAGAATCAAAACAAAGCCAGCAGTTACATTTTTTGAAATTTATTATTTATCCTTTTTTTTTTGATGGTTTTTTTGTATCAAAGAGGTATAGAAGTGTATACTAAATAACTTTCAGAGTGAGAGGTGCTTGTTAAAGTGTATTTTGTTTCATTTTCTGCTTTCTTGTACAAGCAGATTAGGCAAAGGAGATAATTTCAGATGACACATTAATAGAACTACAAAGGCTTTCATGAAGTGATCTGTTTCACAGATCTTTTGCAAATCATGAGAATAATTGCTAAGAAGTAGTTACACAACATATTTAGTTTTTGGCTGCTTGTGGGAGAACCCAGCTTTCTCAATCCAGCAGCTCCCGTAGGAGTTCTGTACACCTTTGTGGAGCTGGTGCTAACCAGGGTTCAGATCTCTTCATTGTTTCCTCTTTTCACGAGAAGAAACAGGAGAGGAAAGTAATGAAAGAGCTCTAACTTTGTCAGTGGCTTTTAGTACTTCAAGGCTGTGTGGATGTAGGAGTTTTGCTGTGTGAAGCATGCCCCCAGCACAGGCTATGGTGGCAGCTCTGCCATGCAGTTTACCGTGTCGCTTGAGAATACCACAGCTTTTTTTTTTTTTTCTCAGAGAAGTTGGCTGCTTCTGTTATCTGACCCCCAAGGAAGCAACCTTGGGATCCAGTGGCCCAGCAATATGGAAGTTACCTGGTTGTTCACTTGTGGAACAGTTTTCCTGTTGTGGTTGCTCCCATTGCTGGGGATCTGAAGGCCTTAGAAAAATAATAATTCATAACTAAGTATCTGTAATTTACTTCAGTGATAAATCTCTTAAACATTCCAATATCCCACTAAACTGCTTACTAAGGACTGCACTGTCCAAATCCTTGCATTTGATTGTACCCAAAAGAGTAAAAGTGTAGGGATTAATTATATTTAGGCTGAGACATCTTTTCGAAGACAGTTAACAAAAAAACTCTTTTTTTTTTAATTGCCATATGGTTTGGCAAATTAAATATTCTACTTTTCAACTTTTGAGACGCTTAATGCACTAAAATTTCGTCACCTGCAAAATCAGAATGTCAAAAGTGTGCAGGTCTTCGTAGCACTGCCCCAGACCCAAAAACGAATCCAAGAAGTCCTGTTTGCTTACCTCTGTGGAGTCTTATTTCTTTAATGTGACTGGTGAATAGGGGAAGTTGAGACACCATGAATAGGAACAGATAATGTGAGCTTAGAGATCTCAGGCTAGGCAAAACAGAAGTGAAAAACTGTCTCCCATTTCAAAAGAGAATAAAAGCTTCTTATGCTGCATCTCTGGGCTGTCTTCCTTCTCACATTCCAAATATACTTACCAAGTATCTCCGAAACCACTTGGCTATACTAAATGGACCTTTTCTGTATTATTAAAATTTTCTCTATAAGCTGTTCATATAAACATGGCTGCAGTATTGTAATATCAGACAGCAAGGAATATTCTCCTGGGATTCTATCATTTTACACAGGTCTATTTCCTTTTGAGTTCTGTAATGTCATGATATGTAACAAACTGTTTTAACTGCAGTTATCCTCAGCTAAAACTCTCTTACTTTATTGTATTACTCCTTTTTCCCTTTGAACTTGATCCCTTGTGTGTCCCCTGTGTCCCGTTCCCTGCAGCGATCCCAGCTGGCTCTGGTGGAGATTGGTTTGCTGTGAATATCCTTACTACCAAAATGAGTACCAGAAGCTTCTCAGAAGCCATGGCAACTGACCACTTGCTTTCACCAGGAATAGGGGCCTTTTGTCTGAATACCTTGCCCTCAGGTAACTTCCCCTCTCCCACCTTTGTAGAGCAAATGTAAGAGGTGGTATGCATTTATAAACAAAATTGGGAGTGAAATGAGCTCTGTAAAGTGTTAATTGGGTTTCCTCTCTCTTCTGTTTGCTTTTGTAGCTTAGAGTTCTGCAAAAATAATTGTTTGATATGCAGCTATATGCTTTGGGTTTGGGTTGTGTTTTTTTTTTTTTTTTTCAAGTCTTACCCTAAACTTGCAAAACTAGTTTGTGAAGTAAACCAGCAATCCCATTATAAACATACCTTTATGTGTACTTCCTAAATGTAATCTTCTTGGTGTTTGGCAATATCTTTAGGCTATTTGACATTTGCTGTTTATCATTTAAGCCTACTTAATTTGTTTTCTGTAACTTG